AGTGTAATTTTAATAAATTTATAACTCAAAATTTTATATTTCTCTATTTATTTAAAGTATTATTATTACATAGTTTTTTATTTTATTTTTCCATTAAGAATTTTAAAAATTTATTTATTTAAGTCAGGTAATTGTTACTACTACAAAACTTCTTCAATGTAAACTTTATGTAATTTTATTAATAATTATAATTTTAAATAAAAAATTATTTTATTGTATAATTTAATATTATAGAAGAATAAAGATTTAAATAATAGTGCTTTAGGTGGAAGTCAGAGAAGAGAAAACAACGTTCAATCCGAATAGCTTCTTGTATAAATATTGAATGTCTTTATAAACATTAAAAATAAATATAAATAAAAGTTATATTTTATTTAAATTTTTAGGAAAAAAAAAATAGTTTATATCAAAGACAATATTTTTCTTTTCAATTTATTCTAGTTTTTGTTTACAAAAATATTTTTTCTTATCTTTTTTTTCCCTTCTTCTTCTTCTTCTTCTTCTTCTTCTTCTTCTTCTCCATCCTCCTCTTTGAATAATTTAAAAAACAATAAAAAGAATATTTTCTCATTGAAATGGCTGGAATATTTTTGATACAAGATTAAATTAAACAATGCAAAGTCGTGTTAAAACAACAAATTTAAATTTCTCTACTGAAATATTAAACAATTTCCTGATAGTGTACATTCTCTCTGCAATAAATGATTTCATTTTGTCACCGAAGTGCAGCATCTGTTATAATGAAGCATCAGAGTTCTCATCAATGTCTGATGCGTTGCATTGTAGGTGATTAGGATGAACTGTCAGGGGATAACTACTCTATAAATTCCTGGCATAGCTTCCTTATTCTGTTTCCAGTTCTGTTGGGAAGGGAAGAGAATTTCTGGGGTGTTTTATTTGTAAAAGCTCTTGTCAACAAGACACCAAATACATATACACTGAATTATTAAACAGAAAATTGAATAAATTCCATACACTTGCTGAATTTCTCAAATATTAATATTAAAAAGAATCGATATGATCTTACTAATTAAATTATTATTACAGTTAAAGATAAGCAATTAATTAGTTTAATATATACGAGAAATACACTAAGTTCTATAGTTATAACATCATTAACAGTTTTAATATTTTAATATATAGTCACATTATAATATACTGTTGTATATATATATATATATATATTATTACATTCTCCATTTTAATTGCTCTCTCGATATATTATAATCATTATAATAAATAAATAAGTTAAGTACAATTATAGTTAAAGTGTCATTATATCACTTATACAGGATATTCAACATAAATCACGTACGGTAATGTAGACGTTTCAGCTTGATTTACTTGTAAAAATATGTAAAATTTTAACTTAGAATTTTCATAATTAAGTCACGAATATGTTAAATAATTAGTTTTTGAAAGATATTTTATAAATTTTTACAAAATTTCCCTTTGGTAATTCTATCGATCCGTCATTTCGTGTAGTATAAACAACTTACATAACTGTCCACACGAATTTTCTAACAAGATTTAGGATAGGATGGTTATTTATCCTTAGCTTCGAAGGATGAAAAGTTAAAGGATCTGTCAGATTTGTTTACATTTAAATTTTCCTCAGAAAAATGAGAAAATACTAACGCCTTTTCATTTGCATAATTACTAAAATTTAATTGATGCAATTTTTCTGATGGAAGAACTTAAAATATTTTACATCATTCGTATCGTTCTTTATACATTTTTTCTTTTTTGTTTAAAAGTATAACTTGTATATAAATAAATAAATGTACAGAATTCCATTTACAAGCTCCGTTTGGTTTAAGGAAAAAAAAAATATATTATAAAGTTAACAAGTTTTATAATATTTTTCGCTTGAAATATACTGAAATAAGATTTTCGATTGAAAATTCTCCCTTTAGATTTATATAAATTATAAAATTTCTTATAAAAATACTATCTTAAAACATTAAAAATATCGTTTTTCTTCCCTCCTTCATTCGTTTCTCTTCTTACTCCTTTGATGGGATGTTAAGAGTATTAATTGAAATTCTGTTTCATCCTCCGAATTAAACAGCTTAAATTTATAGAAGAAACAAAAAAAAAAATCGATATTAATACGCTGTTATTTATGCAAAAATTCTTTAATTTCGAGCTGTTTTCAATTTATTTTTTCACTTTCTCCGATACTTTACGAAGTATCTAAGCGTTTATAATCAATTATAAGTTAGGGAATAAAAAAAAATAATAATAAAAAAGAAAAAAAATATCTTAAATATTGAAACGAATAAATCTGTAAATGCTTTATTAAACTAATTTAATTTATTATTTCTGCTCAGTTGGAGAATTAATAAGTTAACCGAACATAAAAAATGTAGGAGACAAAAAGACATCTAGACAATAAGCAGCTTTCTCCACTCATCCGTTACTTTCACAGATCATTAGATACCTTTTATATATATATATATATAGGGCCATACGTAGTATACTATATACTATAATTTTATTTTACTATGGAAGGAACCGGTCAAAGATGTCAAATTATGTACTGTGAATAGTGTCACCACGAGAATCTCGACAGTGGATATTCATGCATGGTCGATTGTTGATGCGGTGATGTATTGATGATTCTATCAGCATCCTGGAAAAAGTTTGGATTAAAAGAAAATGATAGATGACACGTGGGAAACGGCAATACATTGGTCACAATGTTGTTACTATTGTTACGTCCCATAACATTAAAAGAACCCCCCGTAGTTACGTTGTACATTTTATTTTTACAGAAGAAGCCGAAGATGAATCATTCCAGCATCAATTGTAAATTTATTTTACGCTAGATTTATCGTAACAGTTGTAAACAGGAGAATATTTTTCAAAGTTTAAGAAGAATTTAAGGAAAATTTATCGATAATTTTGATTGGTACGGGTACGTAATTAAAAATTTATACAGGTTAATTTGTATTGGTTAATTTAGAAATGTATATTTGATAATTAGGTAAAATGATTGGAAATTATGGGGAAAGAAATTCGAATGTCTTTCTAGCTTTTATTAAGTCTGTAAACGATTGTTCACATAGAGAATCGATAAAAATCCCCGAGGAAGCACAATGGCGAGAATGAGAGTGAAAGCAACAAGAAGATCTAATAATAGAAAGACGAAAATACGATAAACTAGGACTAGGTACGATTGAGTTTTCTCTTTGGTTATTTAATTAAGCAGAGAATTGTGTAGGTCCACAGAGTTTTATTTTCACGAATTTTCCAAAGTTTCAAGCTACAGAAAGTTGTAATTTTAGAAGGAAATTCGAAATTAAAATAATAAAAATGCACGAAGAAAAAGAGAAAGAAAGAAAAGGATTGAGTAAAATAGAAAAATAAAAAAAATAAAAAGCTAAATAATAAGCAAAGAAGAGGAAAGAAACGAGGCATATTCAGAGACAAAAAAAAAAGGTTAGCCACCTTTTTTTCACGAATAAATCTTGCTTTTTCCTATCTTCACCGCGCATTTTTGTGTCTCCTCGGCTCTTATTTTATCCATAAATAAGAAAAAAAAAAAACATAAGAATCACTTAGAAAAAAAATCCCTTATCGCCCTCAAATATCTTTCCCTGTTTTTTCCCTATTCAAAGTTTTCTCCTTCGACAAAGAATAGTAAAAATATGCAAAACTAAAAATAACAACCAGACATAAGTTTTTACTTTACAGGAAAAACCTGATGATATGTAAAATCGAACGACTCATCATCTTCAATATGCTTTTTCCAATCTGAAGAGATGGATGAATGGTTATGAAAGAAAAGATGAATAGCACGAGTACAACTAAGATGATTAGAGGCAACTGAAAGGTAGGAAATCCTACAACTTTAATCCTATAAATTTGTCACGTCATCCTGCAATGAGTAGCTTCTACCTATGCAACAAAATGAATGGATGTGATACACCTTGCGCTTGAATGTATCAAAACTACGTCTTTATCTCGGAAAAGTGTCACGTCATCCGACGATGAACAGTTATAAATGAGCAATGACACGCTGAATATTGAGTGTGTTTCGAGGTGTGTAAGATAATAGCAAATTTATCATAATTTAAATTTGAGGGTGGAAATGAGGAGAATATCAAAGAAGGATTTATCACGGCTTTCATCAAAACACAACGTTTTCTCTTAATGAGGTAGAAGCTGCTGCCTTTAATGAAAGTAAGTGAATGACCTATTACCTTCACTACATTTGTCTATACCAAACTGTATAATTTTTAGCTAAAAACAAAGCTGGTAACAATGTTTGAATGCCTTTACTACATTCGTATACACTAAACTGTTGAATTTTTAGAACAAAAAAGCTGGAAACTAAGCCGAAATGTTTTTATTACTTGATCTAATCACAGTTTTCTGTCTAAGATTAGCCTCTAATGAAAATAAGTGAATGACCTATCGCCTTGGTACATTTGTCTACACTAAATTGAAGAATTTTTAGGACAAGAAAGCAGGAAACAAAGCTGGAGACAAAGTCAGAATGCCTTTACTACTCGATCTAATCACAGTTTTCTGTCCAAGATTAGTGTGTAGTAGCTCACTTATACTTATCTAAGAAAGGAAATAATCCCAGTGAGAAGTAGCCTCTTGCACACATTTACTCCCCTCCGGATACATAAAACTGACGTTGGAGTTACTTAACTTTTTCTATTGTTTTCAACGAATTTCCAACCTCAGTTTTTTATCGTAATTGTTCTTCCATACTTTCGACAAATGCTTCTTGTTCTAGATATTGTTTTGGCAGGCGTAAGTAGGGCGTACAAAGTACACGACCGTGTTATCGATACCAGGAAACTGGTGATCCACATCAAAATCCATTCTCTTATCTTGGAATTCTTTGAGCAAATTCTTATAGCGCTTTTATGTTTCTAGATTATGCATATAAAACAAGGAGATTGTGATTTTATTCTAACTCCTAAAAACCATCATTTAATTCTCGTACAAAGTTTGAATCGATAGTATTCTTATGGTGAGACTCTTTTCATCGTGATTCCTTAATTCTCTTTGATCTTCTTGAGATCTTAATTCTCCTCGATTGAAACTTTTCTTGGTCGTTAATTTTCTTTGATTGGATCTTTTCTTCTTGATCCTTAATTCTCATTAATTGAAAGGTTTTTTAATTCCTACATTCTCCTTAATTGAAATGTCTCGATTCCTTGATTCTTCTCGATTCTACATTCTCCTTCATTGAAACTTTTCTTGGTTCCTTGATTCTTCTTGATTTCTTCATTCTCCTGACTTAAAACTTCTCTTGGTTCCTTGATTCTTCTTGATTTCTTCATTCTCACGACAAAAATTTTCTCAATTCCTAAGTTTTCTCTCACTGAAACTTTTCTTTTTGATCTTAATTCCTCAATTTTCCTCGATTGGAACTTATCGAACATTTAAAGACTATGACCGAATTAATTGCATTCTACATAAATTAGAAGCATTTTACTCAAATTTTTGTCAAACATTTTTAACAACCGAAAGTTTCAGAATAATTAAAAGCACTTAAGGAAAATCTTGGTATAATCATTGATCAGTTCGATGAACAGTCGAGTACATTTATCATCTTTTAGGATGTGCCATTAGTTCGAAAAGTATTTTAGAAAATCACCAATCATTGCCGTTCGGCCACTCCTTTATCTCCAAAACCTGATTATTAAAGGATGTAATAATATATTTGGAACATTTGGTCATACGCTTGTTGAAAGGTAATATTTAAACAAGATATTAAATTAAATCTTTACGAAAGAGAACTTTTGAAAAGATTAAAAGAAAATTATTTAACAGCTGATGGAGTGTAATTACTTTATGACAATCCAAATTTTTCTTAAACAAATTAATATATCATTTTAATCTTTCGCAGAAATGCTCCGGGAGGTCGACTATTTTCTCTATATAAAATCTTTGATTTCTACCAGTAAAAAACGCTTTAAGCCTTAAAAAATTTAATATATTCTTTATATATTTTTTAAAATTTATGAATTGATTTTGTGTATAAACTTAAAATATATTTTTTAAAAATTATTTTCTGGGAGTAGCGCTTAGCAACTGTCTACGAGAAGCCAAGCGAAACGGCATTCTTCATCGAAATAATAAAAGAATATTATGAAATTCTAATAGAATATTTAATTAATTATTTAATGTTTTATTTAATTTTAACAAATTTGTATGTTATTAATTGAGAGGGACGTTTAGGGGATGCGATATTGAAATACTTCATTAAAAAGAAGAAGAAAATATATCTACTTTTTCGCATTTTCTAAATCGATTTACAATTTTCTAACGTTATTTCTTGATAGAAAAGAAATTGATTTCTGTTCCAGATATTCAAAAGCATCATCCGCCGTAGGAAAATTAAGATAGGAATTTCGGCAAGAGTAATCTTTTCTCTCCAGATTCGGGTTAGAGTATCTGAAGATTGCTTCGTTACAAATCTCTCTTCTTACAGTTGCAGCATTGCCTGAAGGACCCAAGGGAAGTATTACGATTTCTTATTCGTCATCAATAGCTATTCAGACTTTCTTACGTTCGTTTCGATTTCTAACAAGAGATGGAACAGGAATTTTACCTTCTTTTGTCAACTGCGATGATTGAAAACTTTCTCCCTCTTACAATCTCTCTAAACGTTAATAAATTCATTTTCAATTCCAAAATACTGCTTAAAAATCCACTGATAATTACTTTAAATTCGAAAAATATAACAAAAATTTACCTCCAAATTCTTCACTTTAAGGATCTTGAGCTTCTTAACTCCAAGGATGCAAATTATGAACTCTACTTCATTCCAAGGATGCTGATCTTGACTAAACAGCATCGTTTACAGCAAAACATATAATAAATATTGTCTATATATTTATTTTAATGTTTTTCAATACTTAAATGCTCTTTAAATTCGAAAAATAACGCCAATTCATTCCCAACTTCTTTACTCCAAGGATGCTGATCTTGAGCTTCTTAACTCCAAGGATGCGAATTATGAACTCTACTTCATTCTAAGGATGCTGATCTTGACTAAACAGCATAATTTACAACAAAATATATAATAAATTCTGTCCAAATATTTATTTTAATGCTTTTCGCTACATCAGTACTCTTTAAATTCGAAAAAATAACGCCAATTCATCCCCAACTTCTTTACTCCAAGGATGCTGATCTTGAGCTTCTTCACTGACAAAACAGCTTTATTATCTAAAAATACATAATAAATATTGCACAGATATTTATTTTAATGCTTTTTTTCTACAAAGTAAAATATTTTTATATTAAATTCTTGAATATAAAACGAAGTATTCGCATCAGTGTCGAGTGAAGTAACTTTAGTCTATCAAAGTAAAATACTCAGAAGAGGAAAGAGAAAATTGTACACCGGAAGTGACGATCGATCCGGACGTGACGTGAACCACTAAAAGGGAGGTTTAGGATAATGGAGATCTAACAGAAAATGCAGAAAGAAAAAGTACCACTACGCTACTACTAGGTGCTTCTGTTAACACGTCTAGAAACGTGTAAAGTAATTGAAAAAGGGTATAAATTTTTAAAATTCTTAATGGAAAAATAAAATAAAAAACTATGTAATAATAAAATAAATTCGAATAATTTTTTAAAAATTATTTTCTGGGAGTAGCGCTTAGCAACTGTCTACGAGAAGCCAAGCGAAACGGCATTCTTCATCGAAATAATAAAAGAATATTATGAAATTCTAATAGAATATTTAATTAATTATTTAATGTTTTATTTAATTTTAACAAANAATTTTCCTCAGAAAAATGAGAAAATACTAACGCCTTTTCATTTGCATAATTACTAAAATTTAATTGATGCAATTTTTCTGATGGAAGAACTTAAAATATTTTACATCATTCGTATCGTTCTTTATACATTTTTTCTTTTTTGTTTAAAAGTATAACTTGTATATAAATAAATAAATGTACAGAATTCCATTTACAAGCTCCGTTTGGTTTAAGGAAAAAAAAAATAGTTTATATCAAAGACAATATTTTTCTTTTCAATTTATTCTAGTTTTTGTTTACAAAAATATTTTTTCTTATCTTTTTTTTCCCTTCTTCTTCTTCTTCTTCTTCTTCTTCTTCTTCTTCTCCATCCTCCTCTTTGAATAATTTAAAAAACAATAAAAAGAATATTTTCTCATTGAAATGGCTGGAATATTTTTGATACAAGATTAAATTAAACAATGCAAAGTCGTGTTAAAACAACAAATTTAAATTTCTCTACTGAAATATTAAACAATTTCCTGATAGTGTACATTCTCTCTGCAATAAATGATTTCATTTTGTCACCGAAGTGCAGCATCTGTTATAATGAAGCATCAGAGTTCTCATCAATGTCTGATGCGTTGCATTGTAGGTGATTAGGATGAACTGTCAGGGGATAACTACTCTATAAATTCCTGGCATAGCTTCCTTATTCTGTTTCCAGTTCTGTTGGGAAGGGAAGAGAATTTCTGGGGTGTTTTATTTGTAAAAGCTCTTGTCAACAAGACACCAAATACATATACACTGAATTATTAAACAGAAAATTGAATAAATTCCATACACTTGCTGAATTTCTCAAATATTAATATTAAAAAGAATCGATATGATCTTACTAATTAAATTATTATTACAGTTAAAGATAAGCAATTAATTAGTTTAATATATACGAGAAATACACTAAGTTCTATAGTTATAACATCATTAACAGTTTTAATATTTTAATATATAGTCACATTATAATATACTGTTGTATATATATATATATATATATTATTACATTCTCCATTTTAATTGCTCTCTCGATATATTATAATCATTATAATAAATAAATAAGTTAAGTACAATTATAGTTAAAGTGTCATTATATCACTTATACAGGATATTCAACATAAATCACGTACGGTAATGTAGACGTTTCAGCTTGATTTACTTGTAAAAATATGTAAAATTTTAACTTAGAATTTTCATAATTAAGTCACGAATATGTTAAATAATTAGTTTTTGAAAGATATTTTATAAATTTTTACAAAATTTCCCTTTGGTAATTCTATCGATCCGTCATTTCGTGTAGTATAAACAACTTACATAACTGTCCACACGAATTTTCTAACAAGATTTAGGATAGGATGGTTATTTATCCTTAGCTTCGAAGGATGAAAAGTTAAAGGATCTGTCAGATTTGTTTACATTTAAATTTTCCTCAGAAAAATGAGAAAATACTAACGCCTTTTCATTTGCATAATTACTAAAATTTAATTGATGCAATTTTTCTGATGGAAGAACTTAAAATATTTTACATCATTCGTATCGTTCTTTATACATTTTTTCTTTTTTGTTTAAAAGTATAACTTGTATATAAATAAATAAATGTACAGAATTCCATTTACAAGCTCCGTTTGGTTTAAGGAAAAAAAAAATATATTATAAAGTTAACAAGTTTTATAATATTTTTCGCTTGAAATATACTGAAATAAGATTTTCGATTGAAAATTCTCCCTTTAGATTTATATAAATTATAAAATTTCTTATAAAAATACTATCTTAAAACATTAAAAATATCGTTTTTCTTCCCTCCTTCATTCGTTTCTCTTCTTACTCCTTTGATGGAATGTTAAGANGAGGAGAATATCAAAGAAGGATTTATCACGGCTTTCATCAAAACACAACGTTTTCTCTTAATGAGGTAGAAGCTGCTGCCTTTAATGAAAGTAAGTGAATGACCTATTACCTTCACTACATTTGTCTATACCAAACTGTATAATTTTTAGCTAAAAACAAAGCTGGTAACAATGTTTGAATGCCTTTACTACATTCGTATACACTAAACTGTTGAATTTTTAGAACAAAAAAGCTGGAAACTAAGCCGAAATGTTTTTATTACTTGATCTAATCACAGTTTTCTGTCTAAGATTAGCCTCTAATGAAAATAAGTGAATGACCTATCGCCTTGGTACATTTGTCTACACTAAATTGAAGAATTTTTAGGACAAGAAAGCAGGAAACAAAGCTGGAGACAAAGTCAGAATGCCTTTACTACTCGATCTAATCACAGTTTTCTGTCCAAGATTAGTGTGTAGTAGCTCACTTATACTTATCTAAGAAAGGAAATAATCCCAGTGAGAAGTAGCCTCTTGCACACATTTACTCCCCTCCGGATACATAAAACTGACGTTGGAGTTACTTAACTTTTTCTATTGTTTTCAACGAATTTCCAACCTCAGTTTTTTATCGTAATTGTTCTTCCATACTTTCGACAAATGCTTCTTGTTCTAGATATTGTTTTGGCAGGCGTAAGTAGGGCGTACAAAGTACACGACCGTGTTATCGATACCAGGAAACTGGTGATCCACATCAAAATCCATTCTCTTATCTTGGAATTCTTTGAGCAAATTCTTATAGCGCTTTTATGTTTCTAGATTATGCATATAAAACAAGGAGATTGTGATTTTATTCTAACTCCTAAAAACCATCATTTAATTCTCGTACAAAGTTTGAATCGATAGTATTCTTATGGTGAGACTCTTTTCATCGTGATTCCTTAATTCTCTTTGATCTTCTTGAGATCTTAATTCTCCTCGATTGAAACTTTTCTTGGTCGTTAATTTTCTTTGATTGGATCTTTTCTTCTTGATCCTTAATTCTCATTAATTGAAAGGTTTTTTAATTCCTACATTCTCCTTAATTGAAATGTCTCGATTCCTTGATTCTTCTCGATTCTACATTCTCCTTCATTGAAACTTTTCTTGGTTCCTTGATTCTTCTTGATTTCTTCATTCTCCTGACTTAAAACTTCTCTTGGTTCCTTGATTCTTCTTGATTTCTTCATTCTCACGACAAAAATTTTCTCAATTCCTAAGTTTTCTCTCACTGAAACTTTTCTTTTTGATCTTAATTCCTCAATTTTCCTCGATTGGAACTTATCGAACATTTAAAGACTATGACCGAATTAATTGCATTCTACATAAATTAGAAGCATTTTACTCAAATTTTTGTCAAACATTTTTAACAACCGAAAGTTTCAGAATAATTAAAAGCACTTAAGGAAAATCTTGGTATAATCATTGATCAGTTCGATGAACAGTCGAGTACATTTATCATCTTTTAGGATGTGCCATTAGTTCGAAAAGTATTTTAGAAAATCACCAATCATTGCCGTTCGGCCACTCCTTTATCTCCAAAACCTGATTATTAAAGGATGTAATAATATATTTGGAACATTTGGTCATACGCTTGTTGAAAGGTAATATTTAAACAAGATATTAAATTAAATCTTTACGAAAGAGAACTTTTGAAAAGATTAAAAGAAAATTATTTAACAGCTGATGGAGTGTAATTACTTTATGACAATCCAAATTTTTCTTAAACAAATTAATATATCATTTTAATCTTTCGCAGAAATGCTCCGGGAGGTCGACTATTTTCTCTATATAAAATCTTTGATTTCTACCAGTAAAAAACGCTTTAAGCCTTAAAAAATTTAATATATTCTTTATATATTTTTTAAAATTTATGAATTGATTTTGTGTATAAACTTAAAATATATTTTTTAAAAATTATTTTCTGGGAGTAGCGCTTAGCAACTGTCTACGAGAAGCCAAGCGAAACGGCATTCTTCATCGAAATAATAAAAGAATATTATGAAATTCTAATAGAATATTTAATTAATTATTTAATGTTTTATTTAATTTTAACAAATTTGTATGTTATTAATTGAGAGGGACGTTTAGGGGATGCGATATTGAAATACTTCATTAAAAAGAAGAAGAAAATATATCTACTTTTTCGCATTTTCTAAATCGATTTACAATTTTCTAACGTTATTTCTTGATAGAAAAGAAATTGATTTCTGTTCCAGATATTCAAAAGCATCATCCGCCGTAGGAAAATTAAGATAGGAATTTCGGCAAGAGTAATCTTTTCTCTCCAGATTCGGGTTAGAGTATCTGAAGATTGCTTCGTTACAAATCTCTCTTCTTACAGTTGCAGCATTGCCTGAAGGACCCAAGGGAAGTATTACGATTTCTTATTCGTCATCAATAGCTATTCAGACTTTCTTACGTTCGTTTCGATTTCTAACAAGAGATGGAACAGGAATTTTACCTTCTTTTGTCAACTGCGATGATTGAAAACTTTCTCCCTCTTACAATCTCTCTAAACGTTAATAAATTCATTTTCAATTCCAAAATACTGCTTAAAAATCCACTGATAATTACTTTAAATTCGAAAAATATAACAAAAATTTACCTCCAAATTCTTCACTTTAAGGATCTTGAGCTTCTTAACTCCAAGGATGCAAATTATGAACTCTACTTCATTCCAAGGATGCTGATCTTGACTAAACAGCATCGTTTACAGCAAAACATATAATAAATATTGTCTATATATTTATTTTAATGTTTTTCAATACTTAAATGCTCTTTAAATTCGAAAAATAACGCCAATTCATTCCCAACTTCTTTACTCCAAGGATGCTGATCTTGAGCTTCTTAACTCCAAGGATGCGAATTATGAACTCTACTTCATTCTAAGGATGCTGATCTTGACTAAACAGCATAATTTACAACAAAATATATAATAAATTCTGTCCAAATATTTATTTTAATGCTTTTCGCTACATCAGTACTCTTTAAATTCGAAAAAATAACGCCAATTCATCCCCAACTTCTTTACTCCAAGGATGCTGATCTTGAGCTTCTTCACTGACAAAACAGCTTTATTATCTAAAAATACATAATAAATATTGCACAGATATTTATTTTAATGCTTTTTTTCTACAAAGTAAAATATTTTTATATTAAATTCTTGAATATAAAACGAAGTATTCGCATCAGTGTCGAGTGAAGTAACTTTAGTCTATCAAAGTAAAATACTCAGAAGAGGAAAGAGAAAATTGTACACCGGAAGTGACGATCGATCCGGACGTGACGTGAACCACTAAAAGGGAGGTTTAGGATAATGGAGATCTAACAGAAAATGCAGAAAGAAAAAGTACCACTACGCTACTACTAGGTGCTTCTGTTAACACGTCTAGAAACGTGTAAAGTAATTGAAAAAGGGTATAAATTTTTTAAAAATTATTCGAATTTATTATTTAAAAAAGGGATTTTTATGTAAAAAAAGTGTTTAAATTTATCAAATCCTCGAAAGAAGTTAGATTTTATTGATAATCTTTGAAGAAAAAGCGTACTTTTTAAATTAATTTCTTGTTAAAATCTTCATCCTAACTTGTAACAAACTTAATAATTTTGTTAGAATATTCCAAATCAAATTATCCGATGTTATATATTAAAAAAAAGTGTCGAAATTTTTAAATAAATTTACCAAGAAATCAAATTATTTTATGAAATATTGTAATTAAATTTTTACTTAGTTTCTCCTTCATATCTCCGCATCTTTAATCGATACAGCATCGTGTTCAATGATGAAATTTGTAATTCTACGTTTCGTATTTTATGCCTTTTTAAAGCGAATTTCCTCTAGTATAACGTTTCTCAACCTCCTACTCCTTCATCCTTCTGTGTGCAGATTCTCAACCTTTTTTGGGTGGTACGCGTACAACCGGTTGAGAATTGTTAGTCTAGTGCATAATCTTCATGCAAATTTTTGTATGTTTAATAATGAATTTTCATGTCCGTCACGTCTTAAAGTTAAAACTTCATTAGTACCAACTTTACAAGTTTACAATGTTCTTTTATTGTTCGTTTCTTTCCAAAATCTTAAGAGAACTTCTAACTCGACTTTTTTCTTATTTATTATTAAGTAATTTATATTTTTCTCAGTAAACTGTCTGCATGTTAGATGTAGTTTAAAATAAATATAAGTGTTACTCTAGAAGTTTTCTTTGTTACGCGCGAAGTGTCCGTAACGCAGACTTTCTAATTTACATAATTTTTTCAGCTGGTTATTTTAAAGATTTATATATAGTTTTGGGGAAATTTATAGGTAAAATTCGAGATATATCCCTGGAAGATTCTTTCAATAGTTTAAATATGGAGAAATTCATAGTTTAAGGGGGAATTCACAGGGAAAATTCAAAGATATAACCCCTAAAAAGTCCTTTGAATAGTTTAAATATAGAGAAATTTATAGTTTTTTGAGCAATTTATACGCAAAATTTGGGAATATAACACTGAAAAGTCGTTCGAATACTTTAAATATGTATAAAAGAAGCAGAGGAAAAGAGTTAAAATATTCCTTAAAAATTTTATTAAATATTTTCAATATTGCTTCAGCCATTGATGTATAGATGTTTTATTTAATTTTAACAAATTTGTATGTTATTAATTGAGAGGGACGTTTAGGGGATGCGATATTGAAATACTTCATTAAAAAGAAGAAGAAAANATTATAATCATTATAATAAATAAATAAGTTAAGTACAATTATAGTTAAAGTGTCATTATATCACTTATACAGGATATTCAACATAAATCACGTACGGTAATGTAGACGTTTCAGCTTGATTTACTTGTAAAAATATGTAAAATTTTAACTTAGAATTTTCATAATTAAGTCACGAATATGTTAAATAATTAGTTTTTGAAAGATATTTTATAAATTTTTACAAAATTTCCCTTTGGTAATTCTATCGATCCGTCATTTCGTGTAGTATAAACAACTTACATAACTGTCCACACGAATTTTCTAACAAGATTTAGGATAGGATGGTTATTTATCCTTAGCTTCGAAGGATGAAAAGTTAAAGGATCTGTCAGATTTGTTTACATTTAAATTTTCCTCAGAAAAATGAGAAAATACTAACGCCTTTTCATTTGCATAATTACTAAAATTTAATTGATGCAATTTTTCTGATGGAAGAACTTAAAATATTCAAAACATCATCTATAGAATTTTATTTAAAACAAAATATAAAAAGAAATTACCTTTCTTCATGACATTCTAATCCTCCTATTAGAAAGTATTACAAGTAACGGATGAAATTTCAATATTTTCAATAGTAATTTACGTAAAAATCCTAAAGTATTTAAGAATGCAAAATAGACAGTTGGTTGTTGACAGAATAACTGTATATCTTTACTCTGTTGCTAATGTAGATGATAGATTTTTTTTCATCTTATTTTTTTTTTCAGGAGAGGAAGAAGAGAAAGAAAATGGATCGATGCAGTCTTTATTTCAGTGTTGCTCTTTGTAAATTAGAAATCAATTATGGACAGAATAGTATTAAAAAAAAAAGTAATCAGCTAATAAATATTTATACTGTAACTCGACAATAAAAGGCTGTAAAAACTCGTACCTAATTGGTTTTTAGATTTCCCTGGATGCTTAGAGTTTTTAAAATATAATTTTTTATAATGTTCATTTGACAAATGTATTAATTTATTATATTTTACAAACCACCCTTCTAATATTTTACATATAATTATGAAAACTTTATAAAGAAACGAGCTTGTTTCACTATAATAATTTTTCCTCTGGGCTATTATGTAGATGATGTTTTCTTTATTTATCGCCTCTTAAAAGATATTCTTAGGTAATAAAGAATATTTAAAAGTTATGCAGAATACATTTACTCTTTTTAACAGTGTAATTTTAATAAATTTATAACTCAAAATTTTATATTTCTCTATGTATTTAAAGTATTATTATTACATAGTTTTTTATTTTATTTTTCCATTAAGAATTTTAAAAATTTATTTATTTAAGTCAGGTAATTGTTACTACTACAAAACTTCTTCAATGTAAACTTTATGTAATTTTATTAATAATTATAATTTTAAATAAAAAATTATTTTATTGTATAATTTAATATTATAGAAGAATAAAGATTTAAATAATAGTGCTTTAGGTGGAAGTCAGAGAAGAGAAAACAACGTTCAATCCGAATAGCTTCTTGTATAAATATTGAATGTCTTTATAAACATTAAAAATAAATATAAATAAAAGTTATATTTTATTTAAATTTTTAGGAAAAAAAATAGTTTATATCAAAGACAATATTTTTCTTTTCAATTTATTCTAGTTTTTGTTTACAAAAATATTTTTTCTTATCTTTTTTTTTTCCTTCTTCTTCTTCTTCTTCTTCTTCTTCTTCTTCTCCATCCTCCTCTTTGAATAATTTAAAAAACAATAAAAAGAATATTTTCTCATTGAAATGGCTGGAATATTTTTGATACAAGATTAAATTAAACAATGCAAAGTCGTGTTAAAACAACAAATTTAAATTTCTCTACTGAAATATTAAACAATTTCCTGATAGTGTACATTCTCTCTGCAATAAATGATTTCATTTTGTCACCGAAGTGCAGCATCTGTTATAATGAAGCATCAGAGTTCTCATCAATGTCTGATGCGTTGCATTGTAGGTGATTAGGATGAACTGTCAGGGGATAACTACTCTATAAATTCCTGGCATAGCTTCCTTATTCTGTTTCCAGTTCTGTTGGGAAGGGAAGAGAATTTCTGGGGTGTTTTATTTGTAAAAGCTCTTGTCAACAAGACACCAAATACATATACACTGAATTATTAAACAGAAAATTGAATAAATTCCATACACTTGCTGAATTTCTCAAATATTAATATTAAAAAGAATCGATATGATCTTACTAATTAAATTATTATTACAGTTAAAGATAAGCAATTAATTAGTTTAATATATACGAGAAATACACTAAGTTCTATAGTTATAACATCATTAACAGTTTTAATATTTTAATATATAGTCACATTATAATATACTGTTGTATATATATATATATATATTATTACATTCTCCATTTTAATTGCTCTCTCGATATATTATAATCATTATAATAAATAAATAAGTTAAGTACAATTATAGTTAAAGTGTCATTATATCACTTATACAGGATATTCAACATAAATCACGTACGGTAATGTAGACGTTTCAGCTTGATTTACTTGTAAAAATATGTAAAATTTTAACTTAGAATTTTCATAATTAAGTCACGAATATGTTAAATAATTAGTTTTTGAAAGATATTTTATAAATTTTTACAAAATTTCCCTTTGGTAATTCTATCGATCCGTCATTTCGTGTAGTATAAACAACTTACATAACTGTCCACACGAATTTTCTAACAAGATTTAGGATAGGATGGTTATTTATCCTTAGCTTCGAAGGATGAAAAGTTAAAGGATCTGTCAGATTTGTTTACATTTAAATTTTCCTCAGAAAAATGAGAAAATACTAACGCCTTTTCATTTGCATAATTACTAAAATTTAATTGATGCAATTTTTCTGATGGAAGAACTTAAAATATTTTACATCATTCGTATCGTTCTTTATACATTTTTTCTTTTTTGTTTAAAAGTATAACTTGTATATAAATAAATAAATGTACAGAATTCCATTTACAAGCTCCGTTTGGTTTAAGGAAAAAAAAAATATATTATAAAGTTAACAAGTTTTATAATATTTTTCGCTTGAAATATACTGAAATAAGATTTTCGATTGAAAATTCTCCCTTTAGATTTATATAAATTATAAAATTTCTTATAAAAATACTATCTTAAAACATTAAAAATATCGTTTTTCTTCCCTCCTTCATTCGTTTCTCTTCTTACTCCTTTGATGGAATGTTAAGANTCGTTAATTTTCTTTGATTGGATCTTTTCTTCTTGATCCTTAATTCTCATTAATTGAAAGGTTTTTTAATTCCTACATTCTCCTTAATTGAAATGTCTCGATTCCTTGATTCTTCTCGATTCTACATTCTCCTTCATTGAAACTTTTCTTGGTTCCTTGATTCTTCTTGATTTCTTCATTCTCCTGACTTAAAACTTCTCTTGGTTCCTTGATTCTTCTTGATTTCTTCATTCTCACGACAAAAATTTTCTCAATTCCTAAGTTTTCTCTCACTGAAACTTTTCTTTTTGATCTTAATTCCTCAATTTTCCTCGATTGGAACTTATCGAACATTTAAAGACTATGACCGAATTAATTGCATTCTACATAAATTAGAAGCATTTTACTCAAATTTTTGTCAAACATTTTTAACAACCGAAAGTTTCAGAATAATTAAAAGCACTTAAGGAAAATCTTGGTATAATCATTGATCAGTTCGATGAACAGTCGAGTACATTTATCATCTTTTAGGATGTGCCATTAGTTCGAAAAGTATTTTAGAAAATCACCAATCATTGCCGTTCGGCCACTCCTTTATCTCCAAAACCTGATTATTAAAGGATGTAATAATATATTTGGAACATTTGGTCATACGCTTGTTGAAAGGTAATATTTAAACAAGATATTAAATTAAATCTTTACGAAAGAGAACTTTTGAAAAGATTAAAAGAAAATTATTTAACAGCTGATGGAGTGTAATTACTTTATGACAATCCAAATTTTTCTTAAACAAATTAATATATCATTTTAATCTTTCGCAGAAATGCTCCGGGAGGTCGACTATTTTCTCTATATAAAATCTTTGATTTCTACCAGTAAAAAACGCTTTAAGCCTTAAAAAATTTAATATATTCTTTATATATTTTTTAAAATTTATGAATTGATTTTGTGTATAAACTTAAAATATATTTTTTAAAAATTATTTTCTGGGAGTAGCGCTTAGCAACTGTCTACGAGAAGCCAAGCGAAACGGCATTCTTCATCGAAATAATAAAAGAATATTATGAAATTCTAATAGAATATTTAATTAATTATTTAATGTTTTATTTAATTTTAACAAATTTGTATGTTATTAATTGAGAGGGACGTTTAGGGGATGCGATATTGAAATACTTCATTAAAAAGAAGAAGAAAATATATCTACTTTTTCGCATTTTCTAAATCGATTTACAATTTTCTAACGTTATTTCTTGATAGAAAAGAAATTGATTTCTGTTCCAGATATTCAAAAGCATCATCCGCCGTAGGAAAATTAAGATAGGAATTTCGGCAAGAGTAATCTTTTCTCTCCAGATTCGGGTTAGAGTATCTGAAGATTGCTTCGTTACAAATCTCTCTTCTTACAGTTGCAGCATTGCCTGAAGGACCCAAGGGAAGTATTACGATTTCTTATTCGTCATCAATAGCTATTCAGACTTTCTTACGTTCGTTTCGATTTCTAACAAGAGATGGAACAGGAATTTTACCTTCTTTTGTCAACTGCGATGATTGAAAACTTTCTCCCTCTTACAATCTCTCTAAACGTTAATAAATTCATTTTCAATTCCAAAATACTGCTTAAAAATCCACTGATAATTACTTTAAATTCGAAAAATATAACAAAAATTTACCTCCAAATTCTTCACTTTAAGGATCTTGAGCTTCTTAACTCCAAGGATGCAAATTATGAACTCTACTTCATTCCAAGGATGCTGATCTTGACTAAACAGCATCGTTTACAGCAAAACATATAATAAATATTGTCTATATATTTATTTTAATGTTTTTCAATACTTAAATGCTCTTTAAATTCGAAAAATAACGCCAATTCATTCCCAACTTCTTTACTCCAAGGATGCTGATCTTGAGCTTCTTAACTCCAAGGATGCGAATTATGAACTCTACTTCATTCTAAGGATGCTGATCTTGACTAAACAGCATAATTTACAACAAAATATATAATAAATTCTGTCCAAATATTTATTTTAATGCTTTTCGCTACATCAGTACTCTTTAAATTCGAAAAAATAACGCCAATTCATCCCCAACTTCTTTACTCCAAGGATGCTGATCTTGAGCTTCTTCACTGACAAAACAGCTTTATTATCTAAAAATACATAATAAATATTGCACAGATATTTATTTTAATGCTTTTTTTCTACAAAGTAAAATATTTTTATATTAAATTCTTGAATATAAAACGAAGTATTCGCATCAGTGTCGAGTGAAGTAACTTTAGTCTATCAAAGTAAAATACTCAGAAGAGGAAAGAGAAAATTGTACACCGGAAGTGACGATCGATCCGGACGTGACGTGAACCACTAAAAGGGAGGTTTAGGATAATGGAGATCTAACAGAAAATGCAGAAAGAAAAAGTACCACTACGCTACTACTAGGTGCTTCTGTTAACACGTCTAGAAACGTGTAAAGTAATTGAAAAAGGGTATAAATTTTTTAAAAATTATTCGAATTTATTATTTAAAAAAGGGATTTTTATGTAAAAAAAGTGTTTAAATTTATCAAATCCTCGAAAGAAGTTAGATTTTATTGATAATCTTTGAAGAAAAAGCGTACTTTTTAAATTAATTTCTTGTTAAAATCTTCATCCTAACTTGTAACAAACTTAATAATTTTGTTAGAATATTCCAAATCAAATTATCCGATGTTATATATTAAAAAAAAGTGTCGAAATTTTTAAATAAATTTACCAAGAAATCAAATTATTTTATGAAATATTGTAATTAAATTTTTACTTAGTTTCTCCTTCATATCTCCGCATCTTTAATCGATACAGCATCGTGTTCAATGATGAAATTTGTAATTCTACGTTTCGTATTTTATGCCTTTTTAAAGCGAATTTCCTCTAGTATAACGTTTCTCAACCTCCTACTCCTTCATCCTTCTGTGTGCAGATTCTCAACCTTTTTTGGGTGGTACGCGTACAACCGGTTGAGAATTGTTAGTCTAGTGCATAATCTTCATGCAAATTTTTGTATGTTTAATAATGAATTTTCATGTCCGTCACGTCTTAAAGTTAAAACTTCATTAGTACCAACTTTACAAGTTTACAATGTTCTTTTATTGTTCGTTTCTTTCCAAAATCTTAAGAGAACTTCTAACTCGACTTTTTTCTTATTTATTATTAAGTAATTTATATTTTTCTCAGTAAACTGTCTGCATGTTAGATGTAGTTTAAAATAAATATAAGTGTTACTCTAGAAGTTTTCTTTGTTACGCGCGAAGTGTCCGTAACGCAGACTTTCTAATTTACATAATTTTTTCAGCTGGTTATTTTAAAGATTTATATATAGTTTTGGGGAAATTTATAGGTAAAATTCGAGATATATCCCTGGAAGATTCTTTCAATAGTTTAAATATGGAGAAATTCATAGTTTAAGGGGGAATTCACAGGGAAAATTCAAAGATATAACCCCTAAAAAGTCCTTTGAATAGTTTAAATATAGAGAAATTTATAGTTTTTTGAGCAATTTATACGCAAAATTTGGGAATATAACACTGAAAAGTCGTTCGAATACTTTAAACATGTATAAAAGAAGCAGAGGAAAAGAGTTAAAATATTCCTTAAAAATTTTATTAAATATTTTCAATATTGCTTCAGCCATTGATGTATAGAATGAACAACGAGAAGGGAAAGAAAAAGGAATAAATAAAAATGGTGTCAAATATGGGAGTGAGAACCCTGAGGGGGGGTCTGGTGTAGCGCAGGAAAAGCCAAAATAAAAAAAAAAACATAGTACATCACTTAATATCGTTTGGAACTATCCATCTTATGCCAACGTCAGGGATATTGAGCATGAGCTTGTTTCAAGAACGTGGTGTGTTTGTGAGCCTCAGGAACTTGACTCCATCGAATGATAAAGTGGATTCGGCGGAGCAAACCCAAAGTATCGTCCAATAAGATTTAGATGTCTCCATTGGGACAAGCGTGGCGAATGAAAAATGATGGGGGGGATGTTTAGTAGAAGAGGGACAGTAGTTTTGTAGTTCGACTTCGATAAAAGTATTAATATTGTGTTACATCGGAATGTGATGCGGAATGCGAAAAAATGTTCATATATCAGGAGGCAGGGGGGAAGAAATTCGCTATGGAATTTATAAGAAATGCTCTTTGTCAAATTGAATGTTTCTCTCTCTTCCTCCTTTTTTTTTTATCCACGTGTTCCTGCTCCTCCTGCTCCGTGATCGATGCAAGTTTCTAGATCTAGAAGATAAGAAGATAGGAAAAAATGATAATTGAATGATTCGATCTTAAATTAACTTTTTAATGATGTTAAAAAACGATTTCTTTTCTCGTTTCTGGCAGGGGAACATATTTTTACTTTATCTGACAATGTAAAGAAAAATGTTAGGAGACAATGATGAACTGAGATAAGAGTGTATTGAAGTATATTTGAAACATGGAAAAGTTGAGCTGGACCCGTCAATAAGAGTAGATTGTTCATAGAGAAGGAAAGAGAGAGAGGGAGAGGGAGAGAGGAAGAATGATGGTTATGATTTATTGCTCACCCACCAGATTTGACTGGACAGCTAATATAGTCAGCCACTGGTGATGTATGGACTCAAAGGAGATGGATATTTCTAATGTAAATCCCTATATTCTACTGTAAAAAAAGAAATCCCTACTGCTCGATAACTTTGTAGAAATTACAGTAAAGAAAGAGGATATTCAAGATTTTAATTTGGTAATTGTCGTAGAGCTTTCAAATCCGTTGTTTGTATCGGGTTACAGATTGCAATTATTGTTTTGCTGGTTACAAATAGAGGAAAAAAAATTCAACTCCAATTACCGATACTGCTCCTCGGATTCTCATTAATAAAAAGAATAACTCCGCTGATGAAGATAACACGTAACGATCATTGCTCTTCCGAGAATTAAATGCCAAATATATGTGACGTAAATAGTTAAAATCTGGATTATTCTCCTGGATGAGGGATCTGTAGATAGATGGATGGATGCGGAAAACATATATTCAATTTTATTTTTTTTTATTCTTCTTCTTCTTCCTTCAATATTTGAAGGTGAATTTTACAACATTCGCAGCATTTTTCAATAGTGTGAGGTGGGAGAGAAAGTTTCTCTGATCGATTGAACATCACTCAAACACATCGATCACAAGCAGCACACACAAAAAAGGGGGCACTAACTGACTTTGACATTGTCAAAATGACTAAAAAAGCGATAACGATTTACACTTTCCTTCCTTCATGATCCTAAAGGAATCCCATTTGAACCGTAGCTAACTTATTCAGTCGACTTTATGCACGTAATGAGCAGATTTAGGTACTTGACTATAAACACATTCATCCTGTCACGTGACTTCAAGCACCCTTCATATCTCGAGTTGAAGTATATATCGAGTGAACTTAATACAAGAGTACTGTAAGTGGATGAGGGTTTTCTATTGAAATGCATTTTACCTTGTTGTTTCTCCATCATTTATAAAAAGGAAGGAGGGAGGAAAAAAAACGCATAAATGTCATACGTTGTAACAGGGGCCTCCTTTCTTTATACGAAGTTTTATAAATCCTCAGTTAAAGTACAGGTGTTCGAGATCGTTACACGGGGGGAAGGAGTAGAAATCTGTTTTACGTCGTCGATTTTTACCTGTAAAGAAAATAAAAAGTTATCTCGAGCGAGAAGTCAATAGATCAGATACGAGTAGAAAGTCTTTTAAGAGTGTTGGTAGAAACGTAAAAATGGTGGATATATTGTTTTGTGTGCAATATAAGGGATCTAGTTAAAGCTATCTTGGACCATCGGATCTCCCAATGGAGATGGTAAATCTCCCTTCCTCCACAGTGAAGTACTTCAGACATCAAAAGCGAGATTCTCTATAGATAGTTTGTTTACAATCACTCTTCTATCGTTATTTCTTACCGGAATGGGTTATATTTTCTTATTGTTGACATCTCCAATTTTATTCTAAAGTTTTACCGGATAAAAATCCAATATTTAACTTCAGATTCAACTCTTTATTTATCTTTTATCAATAGTTAACGTGTCTGAAGTTTCTTCTTCTTCTTGGTTATCCTCGTGGTGATCACATCACGTAAAACGTTATTTATTTAAAATTAATTCATAAATTGATACTGTAAATAAATTTAAAATTTAATTCTTTATATAATCCCTTAAAATTTACTAAAATTCGCGTGTTTATGAGGAAGTTCTTCCTTCCTCATCCCTTTCGAGACGTAGCATCTGGATAAGATTCTTTGCTAAAGTTTCCAAGAAATTTTCCTTTCTTTCTTCTAAGATTCGACATATTTGAAAAGTTTAAAATTTTCTAAAAATTTCTGAATGTGTGAACTTTACAGTTTTCATGTGGAGCACGATTTTTTAACTCATCGTTTTCGATACCTCACCTTAAAGAGATGGTTCGCATTTCAAGTAAAACCATTCGCATTATACAAAGAAGGGGAGAGGAGAGGATAGAAAGAAAAAAAAAAGCTGTTCGCGTGATGATTCACTCGAACTTATCGAAGGAAAAAAATAAGCAAAAATAACATAAAACTACCCATGAAAGTGAAGCGTGACCCGTTCTCAATATCCATAGCTAATGCTTCAGATCACGGTAGCGTAAAACCATTTTTAAAAAATATAAAAACACGTGTTTACATACCATTTTCCATACACATTGTTAATTATAATTAAAATAAACATATATATTTAATAGAAAATTGATAAATAAAACGAAATCACAGTCAATTCTATGCTATTTTTATATCAAAGGATGATGATTTTCTCTGAATCAGATCCTTTCCCATAAAAACAATACATAGACTATTTATATATCAGTATAAAGAATGTATTTTATATATTTCCTTTCTATTTTTATAAAATTCTATATATAATTTTTATTTATTATATCCTCATTTTCCTCATTCATAATCCTCCAATCTATTTTTGTTTCTTAGCATCATTCAGCATCTTTTTTATTACTGCTCTTACCTTCTTTTTTATTTTTACTTTACTTTTTCCTTAGAAAAATTTGTATGTAATATATATACAGTTTTCTTTACCCTTATTTTTGTTCCATCTTCCTCACTTCTCTGCTGATTTTCATCTTCCTCACTTCTCTGCTGATTTTCATCTTCCTCACTTCTCTGCTGATTTACATCTTCCTCACTTCTCTGCTGATTTTACATCTTCCNTTATTTATTTTTTTTATTTTTTTTTTACTTTTTAATTAGTGTCACGAGGGGTTTGGAGAGACGAAAATAAATTCCACGAGAGTAAAAAAATAATGTAATACAGAATAAAATTTGTAAAAATTAATATTAATGTAGTTGATACTTTAACACACCTAATCTACGTTTTGTAAAAAATATTTATGACTTTTAATATTGTGAAAATGTTAATTTGGTTGCAATTTAAAGAATTGTAAACCTAAAAATCGTCCGTCTGTCCGTCTATCTATCTCTCCTTAATCTCGAGAACGGCGTTAGATGTGGTAAGCTTAGAGGCAAAAAGGCACGATTAACTGTATATGAACTTGCAGTATATGTAAAATATATACTGTACATATGCAATATATATATATATATATATAGGGCCATACGTAGTATACTATATACTATAATTTTATTTTACTATGGAAGGAACCGGTCAAAGATGTCAAATTATGTACTGTGAATAGTGTCACCACGAGAATCTCGACAGTGGATATTCATGCATGGTCGATTGTTGATGCGGTGATGTATTGATGATTCTATCAGCATCCTGGAAAAAGTTTGGATTAAAAGAAAATGATAGATGACACGTGGGAAACGGCAATACATTGGTCACAATGTTGTTACTATTGTTACGTCCCATAACATTAAAAGAACCCCCCGTAGTTACGTTGTACATTTTATTTTTACAGAAGAAGCCGAAGATGAATCATTCCAGCATCAATTGTAAATTTATTTTACGCTAGATTTATCGTAACAGTTGTAAACAGGAGAATATTTTTCAAAGTTTAAGAAGAATTTAAGGAAAATTTATCGATAATTTTGATTGGTACGGGTACGTAATTAAAAATTTATACAGGTTAATTTGTATTGGTTAATTTAGAAATGTATATTTGATAATTAGGTAAAATGATTGGAAATTATGGGGAAAGAAATTCGAATGTCTTTCTAGCTTTTATTAAGTCTGTAAACGATTGTTCACATAGAGAATCGATAAAAATCCCCGAGGAAGCACAATGGCGAGAATGAGAGTGAAAGCAACAAGAAGATCTAATAATAGAAAGACGAAAATACGATAAACTAGGACTAGGTACGATTGAGTTTTCTCTTTGGTTATTTAATTAAGCAGAGAATTGTGTAGGTCCACAGAGTTTTATTTTCACGAATTTTCCAAAGTTTCAAGCTACAGAAAGTTGTAATTTTAGAAGGAAATTCGAAATTAAAATAATAAAAATGCACGAAGAAAAAGAGAAAGAAAGAAAAGGATTGAGTAAAATAGAAAAATAAAAAAAATAAAAAGCTAAATAATAAGCAAAGAAGAGGAAAGAAACGAGGCATATTCAGAGACAAAAAAAAAAGGTTAGCCACCTTTTTTTCACGAATAAATCTTGCTTTTTCCTATCTTCACCGCGCATTTTTGTGTCTCCTCGGCTCTTATTTTATCCATAAATAAGAAAAAAAAAACATAAGAATCACTTAGAAAAAAAATCCCTTATCGCCCTCAAATATCTTTCCCTGTTTTTTCCCTATTCAAAGTTTTCTCCTTCGACAAAGAATAGTAAAAATATGCAAAACTAAAAATAACAACCAGACATAAGTTTTTACTTTACAGGAAAAACCTGATGATATGTAAAATCGAACGACTCATCATCTTCAATATGCTTTTTCCAATCTGAAGAGATGGATGAATGGTTATGAAAGAAAAGATGAATAGCACGAGTACAACTAAGATGATTAGAGGCAACTGAAAGGTAGGAAATCCTACAACTTTAATCCTATAAATTTGTCACGTCATCCTGCAATGAGTAGCTTCTACCTATGCAACAAAATGAATGGATGTGATACACCTTGCGCTTGAATGTATCAAAACTACGTCTTTATCTCGGAAAAGTGTCACGTCATCCGACGATGAACAGTTATAAATGAGCAATGACACGCTGAATATTGAGTGTGTTTCGAGGTGTGTAAGATAATAGCAAATTTATCATAATTTAAATTTGAGGGTGGAAATGAGGAGAATATCAAAGAAGGATTTATCACGGCTTTCATCAAAACACAACGTTTTCTCTTAATGAGGTAGAAGCTGCTGCCTTTAATGAAAGTAAGTGAATGACCTATTACCTTCACTACATTTGTCTATACCAAACTGTATAATTTTTAGCTAAAAACAAAGCTGGTAACAATGTTTGAATGCCTTTACTACATTCGTATACACTAAACTGTTGAATTTTTAGAACAAAAAAGCTGGAAACTAAGCCGAAATGTTTTTATTACTTGATCTAATCACAGTTTTCTGTCTAAGATTAGCCTCTAATGAAAATAAGTGAATGACCTATCGCCTTGGTACATTTGTCTACACTAAATTGAAGAATTTTTAGGACAAGAAAGCAGGAAACAAAGCTGGAGACAAAGTCAGAATGCCTTTACTACTCGATCTAATCACAGTTTTCTGTCCAAGATTAGTGTGTAGTAGCTCACTTATACTTATCTAAGAAAGGAAATAATCCCAGTGAGAAGTAGCCTCTTGCACACATTTACTCCCCTCCGGATACATAAAACTGACGTTGGAGTTACTTAACTTTTTCTATTGTTTTCAACGAATTTCCAACCTCAATTTTTTATCGTAATTGTTCTTCCATACTTTCGACAAATGCTTCTTGTTCTAGATATTGTTTTGGCAGGCGTAAGTAGGGCGTACAAAGTACACGACCGTGTTATCGATACCAGGAAACTGGTGATCCACATCAAAATCCATTCTCTTATCTTGGAATTCTTTGAGCAAATTCTTATAGCGCTTTTATGTTTCTAGATTATGCATATAAAACAAGGAGATTGTGATTTTATTCTAACTCCTAAAAACCATCATTTAATTCTCGTACAAAGTTTGAATCGATAGTATTCTTATGGTGAGACTCTTTTCATCGTGATTCCTTAATTCTCTTTGATCTTCTTGAGATCTTAATTCTCCTCGATTGAAACTTTTCTTGGTCGTTAATTTTCTTTGATTGGATCTTTTCTTCTTGATCCTTAATTCTCATTAATTGAAAGGTTTTTTAATTCCTACATTCTCCTTAATTGAAATGTCTCGATTCCTTGATTCTTCTCGATTCTACATTCTCCTTCATTGAAACTTTTCTTGGTTCCTTGATTCTTCTTGATTTCTTCATTCTCCTGACTTAAAACTTCTCTTGGTTCCTTGATTCTTCTTGATTTCTTCATTCTCCTGACTTAAAACTTTTCTTGGTTCCTTGATTCTTCTTGATTTCTTCATTCTCCTGACTTAAAACTTTTCTTGGTTCCTTGATTCTTCTTGATTTCTTCATTCTCCTGACTTAAAACTTTTCTTGGTTCCTTGATTCTTCTTGATTTCTTCATTCTCCTGACTTAAAACTTTTCTTGGTTCCTTGATTCTTCTTGATTTCTTCATTCTCCTGACTTAAAACTTTTCTTGGTTCCTTGATTCTTCTTGATTTCTTCATTCTCCTGACTTAAAACTTTTCTTGGTTCCTTGATTCTTCTTGATTTCTTCATTCTCCTGACTTAAAACTTTTCTTGGTTCCTTGATTCTTCTTGATTTCTTCATTCTCCTGACTTAAAACTTTTCTTGGTTCCTTGATTCTTCTTGATTTCTTCATTCTCCTGACTTAAAACTTCTCTTGGTTCCTTGATTCTTCTTGATTTCTTCATTCTCCTGACTTAAAACTTTTCTTGGTTCCTTGATTCTTCTTGATTTCTTCATTCTCCTGACTTAAAACTTTTCTTGGTTCCTTGATTCTTCTTGATTTCTTCATTCTCCTGACTTAAAACTTTTCTTGGTTCCTTGATTCTTCTTGATTTCTTCATTCTCCTGACTTAAAACTTTTCTTGGTTCCTTGATTCTTCTTGATTTCTTCATTCTCCTGACTTAAAACTTTTCTTGGTTCCTTGATTCTTCTTGATTTCTTCATTCTCCTGACTTAAAACTTTTCTTGGTTCCTTGATTCTTCTTGATTTCTTCATTCTCCTGACTTAAAACTTTTCTTGGTTCCTTGATTCTTCTTGATTTCTTCATTCTCCTGACTTAAAACTTTTCTTGGTTCCTTGATTCTTCTTGATTTCTTCATTCTCCTGACTTAAAACTTCTCTTGGTTCCTTGATTCTTCTTGATTTCTTCATTCTC